TTTTTTTTATTTATTTACTTATTTGACAGAGAGAAAGAGATCACAAGTAGGCAGAGATGAGGGGGGTGGGGGGGGGGAAGCAGGCTCCCCGCTGAGCAGAGAGCCCGATGTGGTGCTCAATTGCAGGACCCTGAGATCATGACCTGAGCTGAAGACAGAGGCTTAACCCACTGAGCCACCCAGGTGCCCCAGGAAGCACCTTCATCATCTGCTCCATCCGTCACCCATTGCCTAACTCCCCACTCCGGTGCCGTCCTTCGGTGGTTAGTTCTCAGAAGCTGCCTCGGGACCCACACATTGGCAGCCCGGTCTCCCCCTCGCCAGCCCATTTCAACTTCTGGGCCTAGTCTATTTCCCAGCACCTATTTCTCTGACTCTCAAGTAACACTTCATTATGTTGATTAGAAAATCATCGTTCTGTAACTTTTACTCTCTTCACAACCAGATATTAGACGAGAAAAGGGTGCAACTGGGAATCACAGGCCTTAGTTTGAATCCTTGTCCTGCCACGGACCCCTCGATGTGACCTTTTCAGTTAGCTGCTTGATCTCCTGGATAATTCATTTTCCCCATCAGTAAATCGGGCTGTTGACATCACCTTTACGGCTCATTCTGTGACTCAGCGAGCAGGTGTATATAATTCACGGAGCACCATGGCTGACAAAAGTCGGTGCTGAACCAGTGTGAGTTTCTCCCTTCCTACCGTCCTCCCCAGTGCGAGCCTTCAGCTGTACAAAGAGATCCCGCCAGTTACTGAGTTGGAGACTGATCTCGTCTTCCCCGTGAGTGTTCCTGTCCCCAGGGTAAAGAGACCCAGTTTAGGTCCGCAAACGTTCCTTGAGCGACTTGTGTACTCTCCACTTGGCGATGGGAGGGGAGATTTCTCTCTGAGTCAGTGATCTCCTACTTATTACCAAATGGGAAAAGAATCTGTCCCTCCCTCCTGCCAAGAGCTGGGGTTCCGCCGTCAGAACCCTGCATGTTTTAAGTTGAGTGTTCACATAATGGTGTCTGCTTGCCTAAGTAGAAGCATCCTTTTTACTAGTCATCAAGTTTTCTCTTCAAGAACGATTACACATTTCACAAATCCAGGGGGACAGCCTCAGTTCGATAAGAGCCTGCCAGCCCCAACTCTGGCTGGGTCTATTGACAGCTGGCTTGGCCCTGTGGACTCCGTGGTTTCCCCCAGAAACGCACAGAAGGACCAGAAAGCAACAGCTGCTCTGTCCCTTGGCAGGGCTGGAGGTTGGCCTTGTGAATGAGGTTCTTCAAGTAAGGACCTTGCTCGAGACGGGATATTAAAGGTTTGGTTTTGGTTTTTGTTATTGACCCAGTACAACACGCTAACAGCTCGAGATTTAGAAACATTAAACACTCCCTTCTCAGCTTCAAGACGACAGTTGATAAGCATATAACCATAAGATGCTGAAGACAATAAAGAACGGGAGGAGAAATTTGAGCCCTGGGAGATTAATAAATAATGAGGAGCGAATACAGTCAAGCCACAGATCCCCAACGGGGCCCATTAGTTGGGCTCCTGCATAAAGCCAGACAGGCAGGCATGGCTCCTGTAATTCTGTTAACACTAACAACTAGTCCTTAAATGCTCTCATGTATACAACAGGGGTATTTATATTCTTGCAGCAAACAGAGCGTTGTTCCAGAATCAAACAGAGCAGTGGTTTAGTTTGGCAAATTGGGTAATCTAATCACTAGCTTTGTCAACTGCCTTTGTGCTTGCTCGCTAAGGAGGCCTCCCATTCCCTGCAGAGCTGTGGTTCTCAATCTGCATCTCCCGGAGCCCTCCTGTTCCACGGAGGGTCTTTTGGGGGCAGCTGGGTGGGCGCAGCTAAGTGAACCTCCAGGCCCTCTCCACCTGCTTCAGGGAGAGTAGCTTTTAACTGCTCTGGTCTTTAGAGAACTTGGAAGATTGTGCTTGAAATGAAAGGGTTTGGGGGTTTTGTTTTGTTTTGTTTTTTGCTTCAGAACAGAAACTTGAACCTCAGCGGTGCCGTGATGTTCCGCTACCTTTTGTAAGTTACTCTTCTGCCCGCTGGTGTGTTTCTGAAATGTAACCATGTTAATACACCCTGGTAGAATTCAGTCCCCATATGAATAAACCGCAGTAGATTCATTCCCCTTCTCCTGGTTGATTATATGATTCCTCTTTTTTCACCATTTGAAATAAGGCCTCAGTGAAGTTGAGAACTTTTTTTTTTTAAACAACAGCAGTGAGGGGTGGTGAGCTCCCAGCTGGCCAGGAAGGGAAGAGACTAGTGATGGGTAGTGCGAAGGGGGGAGTGGAAAGAGGACTAGAAGTTGGGTGGACCTGACCGAGGCAGGACCAAGTGTGATGAAGGACACAGTCTGGCTTGTAGAAAGTCGTTAAAAATGAAGGTAAGTTGAATGGGATTGCATTAAATTAAATGGAATTTAATTTTACCGAATCCATGAGATACTTATCTTGCACATTTTAAACATCATGGTTCTTTTTTCCTCCTGCATTTCCCCCGCCACCAACACCCTCAATGTCCAACCAGCGTATGGTTTTTAGAAGTTTCAAGAGCATCAGATATAAATTAGATCAGGGATGGAGTTTCTGAAAAAATAATAAATGCTTATATTAGTATCTCACACAAAAAAGTTGAGGTTACGACAATTTTGTGAAATTCAGATTCCCTTAAGCTCTCAGGATCCACTTGCTTGATATCGTGCGCATTTTTGCCCTTGGAAGATTTTGCTTCCTGTCTCCAGAAGCAAAAGGCGACCTACAGAGCTTTCAGAACGTGTGATTATTCATTTGAAAATAATTTTGATAGACATCTTTTACATGGCCTTGAATTATGATAGTGAGTGGAAACTACATATGAAATCTTTTATTTTAAATTTGGGTTTTCATCAATCTAAAGTATTGTGTGTGTTAAAAGTCTTTGTAACAATGTGAGTTAAATCTTTTCTTGCATCGCCAGGTGGTCTCCCCAGTGGTGGATTGTGGACATTGTTAGCTAGGGGAAGACCCCAAGTAAACAGGATTCAGTTTGCCTTTGGGATGGGGCAAGCTTTTTTTTCTCTCTGTTTCCCTCTCTGCAAACCCTGACCATGTGATGGTTTGACCCTGTCCCCGTGGCTCCGATTGTCTTTACTTTTTGGAGTGTGCATTACTTGGAAAGCATTTCAGGTCAGAGCTCCAGGCCAAATTGAGGATAATGACTAATTCGTAGGTTGTGGGAATTACTTGATTCAATTTAGATACTTATTTATATCCTATAATAAGAAAAGTATTTTTAAAACATTGGATATTGTTAGCATTTACAAATATGAAATTCTGGTTGTTCTAACACAACGATTAAAGTTATTATCAGCAATCTTGATTTGGAGTAGCCCTTATCATAAAAAGTCTAGCGCTAGTAACTCAGCTGATTTTCAGTATGACTAATGAGGCGCCAGTCTAGCGTCTATTCAGAAATGGGTTCAGCTGATCATCAGAGAACTAAGTGTCTGTGTCTTTGCCGTCTCACTGTTTGGTCTGGACTAGAAAGTTCTTTTTTTTTTTTTTTTTTTTTTTTAAGATTTTATTATTTATTTGAGAGAGAATGAGCCATGGGAAGGGATTGGGAGAGAGAAACAGACTCCCCGCTGAGCAGGGAGCCTACTGTGGGGCTCCATCCCAGGACCTGGAGATTGTGACCTAAGCCCAGGGCAGACACTTAACAGACTGAGCCACCCAGGCACCCCTGGACTAGAAAGTTCTAATAGTATGGTTTTGTCTCCTAGGCCAGCTCCCATGGCATCAATCAGTGATGTCTGCGACCAGGGGCCAGGGCTGGGGGGGTGGGGAGGGCAGAAAGGGGAGCAAATGTAAGATCAGAGTATCAAGATCAGAGTCTTATCTCCATCCTTTATTAGCTGTGAGCTATCATGGGCAAGTCACCTATTCCACAACCTCAACTTTCCCAACTACAAAACATGGATAACAACAATTAAGAGAAGTAAAATGGATACTGCGAATGAGAAAGAAACCTTAGCTGCTGTTAGTGTGTCTTGCCTATCCCAGTCTGGAGTTTCGCCTTTTAAATTTGCGGTATTTTAGTATTTCTGTCACCCTCTTGGCAATTAATTGCGAACTACCTGCCATCTTGCACTAGTTTATTGTATGACGTCATGCTCACTTCCCAGGCCTTTCCCTACTGCGCACACTTTCTAGCCTGGGCCCCTCCTGCCACAGGCGATCAGTAATTGTGTGTTTATTGAGTGAACATATTAATAGCGTTTTTAAAACTTTAAATGTTGACAGTCAGATGAATATAGCTTTCTTTTTCTTTTTTTTTTTCCTATCTTTTTATTTGGAGAGATCTATTTTGCATTTTATTTGAGAGGATTGTTTTTATTTTATATTCAAGGGGTCGTAGGTTTTATTTTTTTCTCTTAAAGAATTTTAAATTGGGTTTTATTTTCAAGGAACTGAGCTGTTTTCTGTGCTCTGGCAGCCCCATGGGCCAGCGTGAAGAGGATACAGGCCAGTGGGCTTGGTGGCTCAGGCACTGGGGAGGCTGCGAACGCCTTCGGGGTCCCCCTTTCTGGGCTGAGTGCGGGCAGGAGCCTGGGCTTAGGCAGGGGCCTGGGCTGCCCACTTCCTCTGCACATCACAGGCACTCTGTAACCCATCTCCTTCCTTCTGGAAACCTTCCTCCCCGCCTCCCTCTTCCCCCTCAGTTGACACCACACTACCACACTCCTAGGAGCCAAGACTTAAATGATTTACTTAGCGATGCGCCCTGATCACAGCTTCAAGCCGTCTGGACCCAGCCTCTCCATCTCCATTTCCCCATGCCTTTAAGATTCAGGTCTTCTAAAGAATTGACTGTGCTTCCACATAAATCATATTGTCTACCTGGCTAGAAAGTTCCTTGGCTTTCGGCTGATCACTCACTGCAAGACCAGTTCCCTGTTGCTGCCACCAAGCAAGTAGATAAACTTGTTTCTTCTTTCCCTGGTGACAGGCACATCTCATCGTGCTGAGCAAAAACCCCTCTCAAGAGGAGGCAGCGATCTCCGCACATTTTGTCGCCCACGCTGCCGTAGCTTCTGGGAGTACCAAGCACCAAGGTGAGCGCAAACCTTCCGTGGGCGGGGTTCGCTGCCCGCTCTACGCACCCCACCACCACCCCTGTGCCTGCACGTGCGCTGCTGGGTCTGTAACCCGCTGCTGGGTCTGTAACCCGCTGAATTTAGGATGGGCCCACAGGTGGGCAGGGTCTGTGACATAGGACCCTTGGAGAGCTTTGGCGGCTTTATGTGGACCTGCATATCTGTGCCACTCCCTTAGCTTCAACAGTGTTCTTTGGTTTCTGTTCTATTTGGCCTTTTTCTAATCTTTTGCTTTCAAATCCAGTGAATTCTCCTCCAGCCAGAGCTATTAAGAGCCCCAGAGAATCCATGCTGGGCTTACAGGGAAATCTGCTCTGCTTTCAAAGGTGATCTATTTTTAAGGATTGTTGTGGAGCTACTGTGGCAACAGATCTGGCTTGTCGGAACCCCAGCCCACAGACTTTCACAGGACTGGGCTTTCCATCAGGATGAACTTACATGGTTTCAGGAGTCCAAGAGGAAGTTGCTATTTATGACTCACATGGTTTTTCTTAGCCCCATGTAAAAGGTAGAGCAGCAAGCTTGGGGAGTTCTTTAATCCACAGTTCTGGACTCTGAGCATACAGTAGGCCTCTGTTGCTGGAGAACATATATTCCAGTGACTTTTGGTGGGGGTGAGGCAGTCAGAATATTTAGAAATAAATAAAGAAGACCTATATGGGTATATTGCAAAATATCAGATAAAAATAGTCCTGTACTATAGTAAAATAAGATCCAGTGGGCCAGCAAGTGTAAAATTGAGATCCAGAATAATTGGGGTACAGGGTACAGGAGTTGGGCTAGGATGTCAAGGCTGGCGGGTAGATGAAGATGAAGGGGACACCTCTATGAGCAGCTTGGTCTGCACGGATCCCTGGGTGAGGCAGGGGTTCCAGTCCAGGGAGGAGCTGGTGAAGAAGGATTTCAGGGTTTATCCATCCGTCCACCCGACCTTAAGACTCCTCGTTCTGGTCTCCTTTTTGGAGCCGAGCAGCCTATCTAGGGATAGAGAGAGAAGGCTGGAACACTTTCAGATCCTCTCTCCCTGGAACACTCCATATATAACAATCCACTACAAAACCTTCAAAAAGCCAGCAGTTTTTTAACCAGCTCATTGGTGCTTAAAATTCCTTTCGTAGGGGAAAAGACCCTTCCACTCCCAACTAGTAAGACAGTTAAGATGCCAGTGCATGTTTGATGGAAATCCCTAGACTAGCAGGAGTCACAAATCTAAGTGTCTATAGGAATCAAGTAGGCCGTATGAGCAACACAGAGAGTCACAACAATACAGTAGTAGCAGCAAGCGTAATCGTAAATGGCAGCTACTGTTGGTTGTAACGTGAGAGAGACCGTGCAGAGGGCTGAGGACGGTAGCAACTGGAGAAGCCGTACCCTACCAAAAGTGAGCAGTGGTCTCTCTAGCCCATTACCACCAAGGGGAAGGCAGGCTTCTATGGAAGATCTGCCTTTTCAAGAGAAGGCAGAAATCTAGGTTTTTATGTGTAAGTGATGCCAACTAACTCAAGTAAGTTTCAGACTCTGCATGGGGCAAAACAAGTGTGAGGACCAGACCTGTAACTTCTGCCCCGGAGATCAGGTGTGTAATGAGTGCTTGTCAGGCCCTTCCTGGTTTCCTCAAGGCCTCATGGGTTTCAGACAACTGGATGGTTCTGGGGATGGAGGAGTCTTGGGAATGCCCAAGAGAAGGCCAAACAGCTAGGGGCACCCGGGTGGCTCAGTCGGTTAAGCGGCTGCCTTTGGCTCTGGTCATGATCCTGCAGTCCTAGGATTGAGCCCCGAATCATCGCATCATCAGGCTTCTTGCTCAGAGGGGAGTCTGCTTCTGCCTCTGCCCCTCTCCCACTCGTTCTCTCAATCTCTCTCTCTTAAAAAAAAAAAAAAGAGACAGAGAGACAGAGAGACTACCAAACAGCGAGGAAACCAAGGCCCAAAGACCCTCTTTGCCTAGAGGGATTCCCCTATGCCAGCATCTCAGCTGGTTGAAAAATGTATAGATTGGGTGAAGACTGATAGAACTTGTGTCCTGAAATGTTTTTCCCTCTAGCTGCAAAGTTAGGCCATTCGGCTTCTCATGACTCACCAAATCAGACAATCCAAGTATATATATATATATTTGTGTGTGTGTGTGTATGTGTGTGTATACACACCTATATTTATATTTATTTGTTTTATTTTTACATACATTTTTTAGTCTAAATATAAGTTTGGGTATTGTAAATTGAGAATGACAGATGATCTGTGAGAATTTAATGACCTCGCACGGTAATAATAGTAGTAAGAGCTAATGCTTATCATGGTGCATACAGGCATGGTTCTAACCAGTGACATTTATTAACCCAGTTAATCCTCACAACACCTCGGTGAGGTTGGTATAAGTCCTTCCAGTTTCTGGTGGAGAAACTGAGGCACAGAGAGATTAGGCAATTTCCCCAGGGGTGCATAGCCAGGGAGCAGCAGATTTGAACCCAGGCTCTTGACCTCCTTGTTACATTAAAAGGGCTGCACATGCCCCCTTTCCTTCCTTGCTCTGCCCCCCCCCCTGCCTTAGGCCTGTGGAGGAATCTGTGGAATTTGGGACAGAGAGAGGACTAGAAGAGCAGAAGCAGCCCAGAGAGGTGGGTTGGGAGGGCCAGGGGGCATGTGCTAGTTCAGAAGCACGCACGGGCTCTGGGCTCCCCCTCTGTCTTTGGCCGCCTGAACCCCGCAAGCTGACTTGCCAGACAGCATTTGAACTATAGGAGGAGAATAAAGATGTTTCGAAAACTTCCCCCAGGGGGGCAGGGCGCTGCGCCTGGCTTTACGGACTAGGGAACGGGGTCCCTTCGGCTTGAGGCTTAGTGGGTTGGTTGCTAGAAACATAGCAGGACTCATGGTGAGAATAAGGTCACTAGTCGAGCTGGCCTTGTCTCTGAAGTTGCTGGAACTCATACACGTGCTCACTTAATCCTTTTCACAAGCTCAACTTTTACAAGTGAGTGGACACGGCCAGCTCCCCATCCCTGCCCATTCCCTCCGTCTATATTCTGTCTACTCATCGCTCTACCCAAAAAGGACACAGTCCATCTCCGTCTGTAGGGTGCTTCTTGATGACCCCTTCACTGGAAGTGGCTGGTACCGGGATGCTGTGAGGAGGAGAGTTTGCTGGAGCCTTAAAGGCGAGTCAGCGCTGAGGTCAGGCAGTGAATCTGGGGGATCAGAGCAGCTGCTTGTCAGGCAGCAACATGAATCCTGGGAACAGGTGTGGAGAGGAGCACCAGCCTCCATCCCTAAGGCGTCAGGCCGCCTAAATGGGCACATCAGAAGTAAACACAAGGGGCACCTGGGTGGCTCAGTGGGTTAAAGCCTTTGCCTTCAGCTCAGGTCATGATCCCAGGGTCCTGGGATCGAGCCCCGTATCGGACTCTCTGCTCAGCAGGGAACCTGCTTCCTCCTCTCTCTCTGCCTGCCTCTGCCTACTTGTGATCTCTGTCAAATAAATAAATAAAATCTTTAAAAAAGAAGAAGAAGAAGTGACCACAACCCTTCCTACTGTGTCCACTAGTTTGAAAACTGCATCTGTCACAATCCTCGTTCCCTCTGTGGTGAATGTGCAAAAGGCTGTGGCAAGTCGACTGACCTTGTGCAAGTCACCCAGCATTGTGGGATCCGGAGTTTGATGCGTCTCTTACCCACAATGCCTAAGTGTGGTGCAGGCCGAGGGGACCCGTGTCACAGGCGTGGAGTCAGCATGCCTTTGGAAGCAGGGATGAGCTGGGCCCTGGCCAGCCAGGAGCTGCCATGGGAGTGGGCAGGTGCATTCCCACCACCTTTCAGGAAGCCCAGGTTTTCTAGTCATCTCTCTCTTCATTCTTGCTCAATGCCCCCCTGAGCAAGAATAAAGGAAACAGACCCAGGCCTCTGCTGCCTCCAGCATGGAGAAAGGAAAGGGAGGAATTTGGAACTTATCTTTGAAAACTAAGGGGAGCTAAGGGGAGACCAACCCCACCCCATCCCTGAGCGTGTGTGCATGCGCGCACACATGCGCGCGCACTCGCTTTCTCTCTCTCTCTCTGCTTGTCTTTTACCCAGGACGGCAGGACTGTGATGGACTTTAGTCCCTTTGCATCTAGAAATCCCAGCCAGATCCCCTGGGAACAAATCTGCATGTTCTGCCCAATGCCATGGAAATCCACAGGCACAAGAACCTCAGCCCTGCTTCCCTGTGCTTAAATCTATCTGTGCAGAATACATATTTTTTTAAAAAAGCATCATTAATGAGAAAAAATTCTCATTTGGGGATTCTCCATAGCCTGCTCGCTAAATGCCCATTGAAGGTATTGCCCTTGGACAGCCAGAACGCCCCTGGCCCAGAAGCCAGCGTGTTTCAGCCTCCACGCTCAAGCGAATCCTTTTGCCTTGTGCCTTTCCTGCATTCCTTATGCAGACAAAACTGCCCTAGAAGTCACGAAGGATTGGGATTGCATAAGGACTTCCAATTCAGGCTCCTGGAATGTCACTGACCTGAGCCTGGCCGGCTTCCCGGAGCAGCCATAGACAAACTTGGTATTAACAGCTCTCCCAACCCCGCTGAGTGTTCAGGGCATTGGCCTTGTGTTTATAACTCTTCTTCTAAAGGATATTAAAATGAAATGGGCGGAAGCCAAGTACATTTCAGTGTAAACCTTTGAGAGGCAGAGCCTGCCCAGCACAGGCGACCTTGTTTGGAAGTGGCTCCATCTACAGCCTGGGCTCTGTAGGGTCCAGACCCGGCAGGATTGGGAAGGGGCCCGGTCAGAGTCTTGGGGGCCAGGGGTGGGATCCCTGGCCATGGGGACCAGACTCATGAGCACGGGGTGCATTCCCAAGATGTAATTCCCAAGATAAATTCCCTGGCCCCCTCTTATCCTCGGCTCTCTCCACATTTTGCGCAGTAGACATAAATTAAATGAGTATCGGAAGGCATTGCCTCTTGATGAAGT